CAAATTTCGGCTATAGTTTTCGCAATTCTTGGTTTATGAAAGCCAAATTTTCTTAAATCAAAGGAATGAAGGAATTTTTTTCTTCGAATTAAGAAAAAAAAATGACTGAAGAGAATCATCGGCTTAAATAAATCAAGTGTAGAGTGCTGTTTTCTGGGTGTGGAGCGGAGCACGACGATGGGATGGATGGGTCAGGTTCGCCTTCAACAAGATTATGGAGAATAATTTTGAGCGAGCGCGCCAGAAGGGCATGATATTGGGATGCAGTCACACAACGGGTACGGCACGCCTCGCGGCACGCAGGCTGCTCAGCGCCTCCCGGCCCGGATGGCACTCCATTAATCAAGGCGCAGGTTGGCTCCGCTTAGCTTTCGTTCGAAGAAGCAAATCGCATGCATCTGCGTGCCCGGCCCGGGGCCCGGCTGGTGCCGTCACGGCGGCGGCGCGCCGGGTCCTAGGCCTAGGCCGGGTCGGCTCCAAAGGTGTCCTGCTCAACTCGCTGCGGCGCGGGGCGCGCGCGCGCCCGTCTCCGTCTCGTCGTGCTCTTCACCCCCCCCCCCTCCTCCTCCTCCAAACCCTCGTTCGCGCGGCTGAGCGTTTTCCTTGTTCATCGGGTTAACCGCACCGCGACTGTCAGGGAGTACACGTCAATACAAACACGGATATGGACCGGGCAGCGCGGCGGCGGCGGCGGCGGGCGGAGCAGGCCGAGTCAAGGCTAATCGCTAAAGGCCCGACCGACATGATGGATGAAATGGCTCAGCCGCGCGCGCTGGCGCATCCGCGGCCACCAGCGGGGCTGCCACCAGCGCGGCCACCACCGGGTAGCAGGTAGTAGGACAAACATCTCGGCGGGGTGCAAATGTCTGGTGAAGACTGCTGCTGGGTGCGGGGACAAGGCAGACAGAAAGGAAGAGAGAAAGAGTAAAACACATAGAAGAAGAAGAAGACGTGCTAGACAGGAACGGATAGGCGCAAGCGCCGGCGCCAGTAACCCCGGAACTCACGGGCGAAACCGCACGGGTTCAGCGCGCGCGTGTGTGTGTGTGTGTTCCCCGTAGCCGCACTCAGCCTCTGCTGAGGGTGCTCCGGGACGCAGTCGGCCTAGCCTAGCCTAGCCGGCCCGCCCGGGAGGCCTACACGAGTGGGCTAGGCGCCTGGCGGGTAGGCCGTGCTGCGACACGCGCGCCGGGCGGGTCGGCCTATCCGACAGGGGCTCCACCGAAGCACCACACGCTGCGTTCAGCTGTATTACTTTCCGGATCTCCAAACATTTCAACAGAAAACAATATGCTGCACACACATTCTTACACAATCAGAGTAAAAACAAGAGAGGAAGCAGGAAAGAGCTTCGGGGACGGGCCGGGCGGTGCGTGCTGCCGGGAGCGCCTAGTGGGTAGGCCGTGCTGCGACGCCCGTGCCCGGCGGGCCGGCCTACCCGGCAGGGGCTCCGCCGAGCCACGGCAGTGGGTACGCTGCATATCCTTTTCCATTTCCAAAATATTTACACCCTCATTTTTTATAATAGAAAGATTCCATGTTTACTTCTTAAATTGTCGTAGAAAACAAGAAACGAGAAGAAAACATTACAGAGCGTTTCGCCTTGCTGAGATACACGCGATGCCCGACATGATGGCATAAGCAAGCCAGTCACATTAGGAAGAGCAGGAGGATTGCGGTTTGCTCCTCCTGGAAGCCGCGACCACCGCCGCCGGGTTGACCTCACAGCCGCGCCAGCTCAGCCGCGCCGCCGCCAGAGTCGTTTTGGGGCCGCGGGGGCCGCGTTAGCATTCAGCGCGTGCAGCGCAAGTTGTTCTTATTGGTATCGGTATTGGCGGGGCTTATCACGGCGGCGGTGGCGGCGTTAGCAGCGGCGGCGGCGCGGGCGAAAGGTGAAGGCCGCCGCCGCATCATGTACCGACAGAATCTGGATTCCCCGCCTGGGACGAGCAGAGCAAAGCCTGACGTAAAGTACCAATTAGGATGAGGAGAATGGATCGATCGGGCGGCGCGCAGCGTCACGCCACCTACCTCGGCGAGCTCGCGGCGGCAGCGGGGGTCAGGATCAATGAGATTTGAAACAAGTCCGCGCGCCGCGACCGGACCGGGTGACCGCGCAAGGTCACCCGCGCGTCACCCGCGGCAGAGCAGCAACAGCAGCAAAAGGAGCGAAACGTTGTTGACTCATTGCACACTGGGCTGACATCGCATCAGGATCTCCGCGGGGAGTGCGCGTCTGCGGCGGCTCTCCTCATACCACCCGCGCCGCGCACCTCGCTTCGCTTTCCCCTCCTGCTCCTCTCAAAAGCAAGCAGGCGCGCTCTCCAAAAACTTCTCTCTCCCTGCTCCTGCCGCGCTGCTGCTGCTGCTTGTCCTTGCCGCTCTTTTTTTTTTTATACGACGCAGCGCGTAACGTGCGTGAGCTCGCTGTAAGTACGATCAGCACCGCCAGTGTCACGGCCGAGCCGAGCCTGAGCCGAGCCGGGCAGCCGTCGGGCGCGAGGAGGAGGTAATCCGAGTGTGACGGCCCGGGCTGACATGAGGGGCGGCCTGCCCTGCACCTCATGACGGGTTCAATACATACAAATTGGCTTTGATTGGAAAGCAACTTTTTATACCCATCCGGCCGGGCTTGGGGCGCGTCCGACACGACACGCCGGGGCGTTACTGTCAGTCCGACGCGCGCGCGAGGCCTAAAAACTTGACCCGGCGGCGGCGGCGGCGCGGCGCGCCCGCGTGCATGAGCGAGTGCGACGGAGAGAGAGGCACAAGTGCACGGGGCAATGAGTAAAAGCGGTGAAAAAAAGAAGACAGCGAGGGATGTGGTATGCATGGATCGGTAAATGGATACACATGAGCGAGAGCGACCGCAACACATCTATAGTTTGACGCTTAGGGAAATCGAATTTGGATACAAAAGGGGACATTGTTTCGTTCATCATCATTTAATAATAAAACTGTTTTTTAAATCCGAATTTATTCAAAAAACGAATCTTGAATGTGCCAACATGTTTTTTTTTTAGGGGGAAACTGAGCAACAACGTACATTACCAGCCGATCAAACTGTTTTCTAGAGGTCTAAATGCGTACCGATTATAAACTGTGGGTGAGCGGGTGTCTGGGTAAACGGATGGATGGCAAGGCAAGATACTTGGATAGCTGGCTGGACGCAAGGGAAGCCAAGGCGGTACATCACAGTCAGGCGAGCTAGCGGGGTCGTAGAATGAGAAGGGACAAGGCAAAACTTGGGGCAAGGCAAAATAAGAAAAAATAACGTTCGGCGACCTAGTTGTGTTTGGGTCGACAGATGAGCGGGACATGCCGTAATGCGGCGTAATGCCCCCGGCCTTGTGCAGGAAAGCGAAATCCCCAGCAGACAAATTCGTCTCATTTTTCAGAGCGAAGCGCGCCGCCACCGCGCCAAGTGGGGGCCGCGCCGGGCCGGGGCAGGCGGGCGGGCCGGGCACGCAGAGTCAAGGAGCCGGTCAAAGAGCGCGGAGCGGCGCAGAGCACAAGCTCCTCTCACAGGTGGTCAGGCCGGTACCGGGCCGGGCATGGCGAAACACATTCGGGAGCGTTTATTTGGTTTAGAGCGCGTCGAGGTTTTGAAGCCTCCGCGAGCCAAGACTCTTTTGCTCTTCTCCGTCCCGCGACCCCGCGATGGAAAACTTGTGATGGAGCGGCCGCGATAAGTCCGGCAAGGTCGTTCGGGTGGAGTGAGTGAGCTGCACCCCGCGCGGCCCCCGACCCTGCCGTACCCACGCGGAGCGCTCCAGTTTTGAACCTCCCGCCGCGAGCGGAGCTGAGCCGGACAGGCAGATAGACCTCGTGTCATGTCAATGGGCTGATGAGACGCTATCGGCGGCCCACGAGCGCCTCCTATCCGGGAAGGACATCATCGCGGC